GCTATGACAACTTACTTTTTTGTGTTCATTTAACCCAAATCTTACAAATCTTTAACCCAAAGGGACTTTTCACTTTGACTTTACTTAAAACAATTGAGTTCAATGCCAGTTTCGTATCCTATGTCTGACCAACTCAATTTATTATGATCATCCAACTCAAATCATTAAGTCCTTCCAACTCAGTTTGCTAAGTTTTATAACTTAATTCATAAAGGGGTTTAACATGACAAATTTAAGTCATTCTTACTCAAATCATTTATTTTGTTCGAATAAACATTTAAAATCTCTTTGACTTAATTCTACAGAAAGTCAACTCAAACTTTTAAGTAGTTCCAAACTAAATTTTAATATTATTTTTACAGTGTCCTCTAAATACACAAATCTTTTCCTTAAATGACCGTTTTACTTTGACTTTACTTGAAATAATTAAGTTCAATACCATATTTGTATCCTTCGTCTGACACCATGACTCAGGCCTACCAGGGCCAGATTCCCTGGTAGGCGACCGTGGCTCTGTGGGTAGAATCATCGTCTTGTGATTGGAAGGTTGTAGGTTTGATTCCAGCTTCCTCCTGCCACATGTCAATGTGCCCCCTTGGCAAGGCACTTAACCCCAAGTTGCCTACTGATCTGTGCATTAAATGAATGTGTGAATGTGACTCTAGTGTAAAGTGCTTTCAGTCGTCAAAATAACTGGAAAAGCGCTATATAAGTTTATTTACCATTTTTGAAGTAAACTAAATGATTTGAGTAAGACTGACTTAAATCTGTTATCTTAAACATACTTAATAAATTTGTTAAAAAAAATAACAAATTGAGTTGGATGATTATAATATATTGAATTGGTTAAACTTAATAAATTAAGTTGGATAAACTTAATTGAATTGCTTGTTACCTATAGAAGCAAAATAGTTGGTTCAACTATTTTCTTTTTAGAGTGTAAAAGTCCCACTGATGAAAACATCAGAAGACATCAGGACAGCCAAAACCTTCTACCAAAAAATGAAGCAAAATTTTAAAGAAGATTGGGCCAAATTGTCTTCAGTAAATGAGACAGACTCCCTCTTTACTGCATTACTCCCACTCACCTCATTTGATAAGCTGCCATTCTGCTGTTTGTATTTGTCCAAATTCTCTGCAGGTGTTTGAGGGCACTGCAGGCATCGATGCAAAGAAGACCAGCTGTGAATTTACTGGAGACATCTTACGGACGCCCGTCTCTGAGGACATGTTGGGTACATGTCTTCGCTCTCCGTTCAGCCATATTTAGTCAAGTGTGTTTCCTCTGAGACAGCAGAGCAGCATTTTTCATACGTTTTCAGGGCGTGTGTTTAACGGTTCTGGCAAACCCATTGACAGAGGACCGGCAGTGCTGGCAGAAGACTTCTTGGACATCATGGGTATGTGTGTTGTGACTTTTAGTTTTCAGAATATTCACTCAGTGTAAAATGCTGAAGTGAAGACGGTTCCCTATATTTTCTAAAATCACTGTGACACAGTCTTCCTCAGTGTGTGTGTGTCTTTGTGTGTGTTGTTCCACAGGCCAGCCCATAAACCCCCAGTGTCGCATCTACCCAGAGGAGATGATCCAGACCGGCATATCTGCCATCGATGGCATGAACAGCATTGCTAGGGGACAGAAAATCCCCATCTTTTCTGCTGCTGGGCTGCCACACAATGAGGTACACATGCATTCACTAACATGATGTATTCCCATCTCAGAGCATCAAAGCACCTAAAAGATTAGATTCTGTCCACAAACTGACAGACTTTCTAAGGTGTTAACAAAATGTGTGTGAGTCAGGCAGAGTTCATTCTGTAGATGTACCAATCAGACTTCTATTGGTCCACACCGAATTCTGGTTTTCCTTGAGTTCTGGCCCCATGATTTTGTTTTTAGAAGGATATGTAGTTCTTTATTGATAACTCAAGACACACACGCACACACACGCACGCGCACTCACGCTCACGCACGCACACGCACGCACATCACTCAATGGACAGATGAAAATATTGACATTATCTAGAACACAAATCTTGAGGTAACGTTAAAAACTCTGACAGTTTCGGAGAGAAAAGACTTCCAGTCCTCATTAACACTTGGGAGCTGCAGTGACCTTTGGCTGCTCCTTAGACTGTCCACCATGTCCATAAGGAGAGAGTGAGACATTGTCCATCTTCTTCAGCTTTCAGTCTCTCACTAACTCATCCAGAGCTCGGCCTGACTGAGCCTCTGTAGTGAGTTTATTGAGTCTAATAGAGTCCTTCACCTTCACCACTGCACTATTATGGCACCTTCTATGTTTTTGTGAAGACTCAGTAATAATAAAATCAATCAATAATAAAATGTATTCTTATGCATGTGCAGATTGTTAAAAGTGTGACTTTTTAGTATTAATACATTAATTATTTATTAATTATTAATACAAAAAAATTCCCAGTTTTCAGAACTAGTTTTTTCATTGAATCAAAGTTAACAGAATGTACTTTTTGAACTGTTCTTCATCAGAAAGAACAGAACGTAGATCTGTAGCACAACTCTGGGATTTCTAAACCCATCGTTCTCTTTGACAGAGGCAGAAAGCTCAAATGGATAAACTTTTATTTAGTATTTTCATATGTTGCATTTTCTGATCAGAACAGGATCTGATTTTTGACATTGTGATGGACCGTTTATCTGTCAGGGCCCATCAAGCTGCTCACTGTTCATGGTTTTTTTAATGACCCAAACAAAAACTGTACAGCCTCAGGCTTCTAACCAGACTGAAGGACAAGTGTTTGAGAAATACTGCAGGTTTTATTCTAATTGACTATTTTAGCAAAATGAAGTTAAGTTTATGGCCAATAAAAATTGAGGTCATTATTTTGTTCCAATGCGAAGTATTATGCAATGTGAGACATTTGTAAACAGTTCAGACTGTTTACAGATATATCTGAAAACATCTTAAAAATTCAACAACAGAAATAAAGCAAAATAAAATATTTAAAAATGATAAAACAAAATCCTACATCAACAACACATAAAACACAAATACAAATAAAATGGGAAAGTTAAAAAGCTAGAAATGCCAAAAGTAAAAAAAGAAAAATCAATTTCAGGCTAAACTTAATGACATATGATAAATGATGGAAAGCTGGCTCCACATGATGTGGGCTGGCCCATTCAGGACCCAAAGTGTGGTCAACAGAATCTCAAAATAAATTCTGAACTGGAAACTGAACCAATGCATGAAGCTGCATGTGGTGGTGGTGGTCTGCTGCTCTTTGGTACCACTGAGCTAACTCCCTGCAGCAGCATTACCCAAAGTCTTCATTTCTTAACATTCCATTAAAGGGGAGCAAAAACATCAAACATGTCTGTCACTTCAAAGTTAATTCTTACTTGTTCATATATTTCTGTCAGCTTCTTATTTCTTCTGTCCTAAATATCTAGACTCTGTTTTCCCTGTGGATATCTGAGATGTGTAGGTTCTGTTTAATTACTGGTTGTATAAAACTGAAAGAAAGTTAATTTCCTGTCTGTTGATAAATTCATTCATTATCATTTCCTTTGAGATTTTATTCATATGAAAAATTTTTAACATTCTTGTCTCTAATTAAGGTGGAAGGTGAATAAATCATCTTTTCCGAGAGTTTGGAACTCATTTCCTTTTTTCCCTGGTCTTGTCAGATCGCAGCTCAGATCTGTCGACAGGCCGGTTTGGTGAAGAAGTCCAAGGACGTGATGGACTACAGTGAGGACAACTTCGCTATTGTTTTTGCAGCCATGGGGGTGAGATCCTGATCCTGTTCTGTCCCAGACTCACTCTGACTGAGACACCCTGTACTTCAGGGCGTTCACTCTCATTCATGTTAAATGTTTCCATACTGTCTGATGCTGCAACCACCAACATCACTGCGTTTTATTCCGTTATGTCCTAGACACAATTGGCCCTTTTTCATTGTTAGCTCCAGCTGCACATAGTTCTACTCATTCTCTCCTCCAACAGAACCTGCTGTGTTTCCACTGACAACCTGATGGATGAAATTCTGGCTTGAAGCCCCGCCTCCAGCCACCCTGACCCCTAACCATTACTGAACTGAGTTAACACTAGTCATGCTAAAGTGACAGTGTTTCCATTAAGCAAATGTATTTTCGTAATTTCAATTTGCACAATTTTACAGTTAATGGAAACACAGCTACTCACATTTGACTGAGAATACTTTGGTGTTTTTGGGTTTGGCCATTGTACTGCATAATGCTCTTCTAGTCATACCAACCACTCAAAGTTAATCTAAAGCTGACATATCTTTTTAAATTGATTTCTGACAGATTTTTGACACGGCTGTAGAGTAATCGCATCCTTTCTCTCTCCTCAGGTCAACATGGAGACTGCCAGGTTCTTTAAGTCAGATTTTGAGGAAAATGGATCTATGGACAATGTCTGTCTGTTCCTCAACCTGGCCAATGACCCCACGTATGGCATTTTTTCTCAGATGTGTTTGGATGTCGGCTGTATAAATAATGTGTAAATTAAGCTGAAGTCTTGGTTTGTGCAGCATTGAGCGAATCATCACTCCCCGTTTAGCTCTGACATCAGCAGAGTACCTGGCCTATCAGTGTGAGAAACATGTCCTCGTCATCCTCACTGACATGAGCTCCTACGCCGAGGCCCTTCGAGAGGTCGGCCATATTCTGCTCTAGCATTCATTCTGATGTAACTGCAGGAAGTGGAACCGGGCTTTGGATGTTCTCTCCCAGGTGTCTGCTGCCAGAGAGGAGGTGCCGGGCCGCCGAGGTTTCCCTGGCTACATGTACACTGATCTAGCCACCATCTATGAGAGGGCCGGCAGAGTAGAGGGCCGCAACGGCTCCATCACCCAGATCCCCATCCTCACCATGCCTAATGATGGTACTCCCTCTGCCAGAGCTCAGCATGGTGGCAGTTCCAGGGCTACCACAGACTGATCCTTTCTCTGCCTTTCAGACATCACCCATCCTATTCCTGACCTGACCGGTTACATCACTGAGGGACAGATCTACGTGGACAGACAGCTTCACAACAGACAGGTAACATCTCCTCCATGAGACAGCTGTACATTCTCCCACGTTTCAAACAAAACTTTGGTTTTTGTTCCATTTGATTTGCAGTATATAAACAAATGGATTAGTTTCATGTCAGGTTTCTTTTATTATAGATTGAATAGAATATTTTAGTATTTTTTTAAATTCTTCTGTCCTCATCTTCTTTTCTTCCTCTGGTCAGATCTACCCCCCCATCAATGTTCTGCCATCTCTCTCTCGACTGATGAAGTCTGCTATTGGGGAGGGAATGACCCGCAAAGACCACTCTGATGTTTCCAACCAGCTTGTATGTTCAAATCTCTCCCCATTCTGCACAAACAAGACCTTTACTGCACTTTGCTTAACCTGTATGCGTGTGCGTGTGTGTGTAGTATGCATGCTATGCCATAGGGAAAGATGTCCAGGCCATGAAGGCGGTGGTGGGAGAAGAGGCTCTTACTGCTGATGACCTGCTATATCTGGAGTTCCTTACTAAGTTTGAGAAGAACTTCATTTCCCAAGGTGCAGTGATGACCAGATGTTTTGTGTTCTTATATGAAATATGTGTGTTTGAAATCAAAAGTGAACTTTGGGTGTAGCGAGGTCTTGTCAGGAGTTCTGCTCAGCATTCACCACAGTGTCAGCTGTTATGATCCCTGGGTAGAGAAACAAAGTCTGTAAGCTTGATAAACTGTTGTGTCCGTGCTGGAGAATCTTACCTTGTAAGAAGTATGAAAAAATAAAGCAGTTCTTGAGTCGTCCTCCTAGGGTGACTAAATATAATAGATTGAAAATAGTCTCTTTTTGTAATACATGGACCGACTGTTAGCAGCTTAAATGAAAGCTAGCATCTACTGTACCTCAGTAGATGTTAGTTTTACTGATGCTGAAGGGCTGATTTAGTTTTTATCATGTGTGGTGGTTGAGAGGTGGTGAGGATGAACGCAGGAGACCCAGATGATGATGAATTTAATGATGAGTGTAGCCCAAAAACAGTCCAGTCAGGCAGCACTGCAGCAACAACAGCACACAGCTAATAACCGGTAGCAACTAACAAGGGGACTGAATACAGGAGCTGAGGCTAACCAGGACTTTGAACAGTGTGACTAGAGAGCTAGACGTATGACATACGACAACGATCTGACAAGAGACAAAGACAACAGGTGGGAATAAAAACACAGGGAGGGTAATCAAGAAATGAGACACACCTGGGAAGCAATCAACGGGGAAGATGCAGAAACAGAGACTCACAGGAAGGAAACTGGACACAGAAAACCCTAAAAATAAATACACAGAAACATGGATCATGACAGTTTTTTCACAAGTTCGGACTGCAATTGTCCATTTCTAGTTCAAAACCTAAACTACAACTCAAAGATAATATTTTGGTGTTAGGAATGCCTCAGAATTACACAAGCAATAAAAAAACAAACAAACAACAACAACAACAAAAACAATATAAGAACCAGTCACGCCTTGGCAGGAATAATATTTAAATTTCAGTTCCTTTCTTTAAATATATGGGACTCCTTTTCACAAATATTGACACAATCTTTTCCTGTGTCCTTGTTTTGAAGTCATCATGTGTGTATTTTCTTGGCTCATGAGCTTTACATATGGAGAATATGGAGAATACCTCCATATTCTACAGTTATTTATTTCCAATGGTTGCTGTAAAGTAGTAACTTGTTTAATTCAGTTTATATTTCACAGCAATCCAATTCATATCCAATTATGATAATAATTGAATATATATAACAAAATAAATTAATAAATATAGATAGAATTTGTTGCATACAGTCAAAATTGATCTCATTTTTAATTCAGTGCAGTCCAGTCAAATCATATAATGCCAATGCAAAGTTCTGGGTCAACGTTATGCACTGGTTTTACTGGTGCAACAAAATTGTCCAACTGCATCACATTTAACTTCTTAGTTGTACAAGGTTATTTATTGATTTATTCTTTGTTTTTTTGGTGGATTGGTTGGTTGGTTGGCTGGTTGGAAATTTTGTTGGTGTTTTTTTGTGAATTATTTGTTTTGTATCTTTGAATGAAATTGGCCAAATTTTAAATCCTAAAAAGATTTAAGTTGCTTTTTATGTGATTTCGATTTGAATATAATTTTTTAATTTAAGGATCATATGTATAAGTATATGTTTCTCCAGAGTTGATTTTATGACCAACCTCAGCTGGACTCTTTGTCCACTGCCTGTGGTGATCTTACTTCATACTCATTTTCAAGCATGTTAAGATTATTGTATTACAAAAACCTGTCTATTGCATTCCTTGTACATGGGTGACATTTTATACTTCTATCATGTTCGAAATCATTCATTCATTCATTCATTCATTCCTTCATTCATTCATTCATTCATTCATTAATTCATCTCAGTCCCAGTGCAGAGCTCTGGTTGAACTGCAGCTCTACTTCACCAAGAGTTTCATTTCAAAACAGTGACTGATGGGGAAACTGGAAACAAGCCTTCAGAAATCAACCTCTTATTTTTTATCTGCCTTCCTAATAGATTTAATGAAGTTGAATTTTGAAGAAAATCCAGGAAGTTTAACCAAAGCCAGCACTACCTTGGTGGAAGTAAACAAATCTACTAGGTTACTATGTGTTCTTAAAATATGGTACCACAAGTACATCAGAGCAGTGATGTGTTATGTATAAGGATAAGTTCTCTAGCTCTAGTGAGAGATCACAGTTGGAGCCGTTCTAATGACCTATTTTACGCCGACCTTGGAACTGTGTAGTTTTGAAATGAAACTTCATTCTAAAGGTTTAAAGATCAGAACCTGATTAGAACCTGTACACAGACCAACAGAATGCTGGTTTATTTAACATGTGCTGTGTGTGTGTGTTTGTGTGTTCAGGAGCCTATGAGAACAGGAGTGTGTTTGAGACTCTGGACATCGGATGGCAGCTCATGAGGATCTTCCCCAAAGAAATGCTGAAGAGAATCCCTCAGAACACCCTGGTTGAGTTCTACCCCCGAGAATCCAAACATTAGCTACACACACACACACACACACACACACACACACACACACACACACACACACACACACACACACACACACACACACACACACACACACACACACGCTCCGCTTCCTGTCCTCTCCTCCGGCTGAGGCCTCACTCTGTAAATACAGTGTAGTGTTGTGATGCTGTAACAATGCCGATGCTCGCTGCTTTCATCTGATGTTGAGGGTAAATCATCCCGGCATAAACAGGAAGAGAAAAAGACCAAACTGGACTTTTAGAAGTTTGTCTCCAGAGTGAATGTCAGGAGCTTCCTGTGGAGAAGAATGTGCAAACAAATGATGTGGACATGATAGCAGCCACTAGAGGGCGCACACAGCAGAGTTTAAGTCCATCTGAGGGATCGGTTCTGAAGCTTAAGGGAACACCATTATTTACTGAATGTCTACATCATTTCTGTCATCGCATGAAGAACACTGAGTGCTTTGTGTGTTCCACATGTATTCTTTCTGAGGCATAGAAAATCTGATTGATTCTCAGGAAGTCAGAGTGAGCTAAAGTTGAATAAAAATACAGAAAGAAAACTGCAGAAAAGGAGCAAATCATTAAGTCAAACAGTTTAATTTTGATAACTTAACCTTAATTAAACTCACCTTGTTCAGTTTTGCTCTTCTAACTGAAGCATTTAAACTTTTGATTAGACTCTCTTACCAGTTGCAAACATATCCTGTATAGATGGGTTTATAACTGCGATCTAGACACAGTTGTTACTGTGTATTGTTGATATTTTGTAAATTTGCTCCATTGTTTATCCACGTCAACTATGACAGCTCACATAAGCATGAAGAATGCTTTATTATACCAAATAAACAGGCCTGAGCTTCTCAAAAGCGTCTGAGGATTTTTGATCCCCATAAAAAATTCTGCCTTTCAGCAGCTTTGTCAAATATTCAATATATCATCACAAAGAAACTGTATGTTGCTCTGAGTTTATAACCAGCCAGCTAGATGATGCATTTTAATGCTCATATCAGTATAAAATCAGACAACAACCCGCCGATCCATTCATGGATACAGAATCCATTCCTGGTTCCTTCAGCTTTTCTTGACAGACTCTTGTTATCGAGGTGTCAGTCAGAACGGGCTCTGATCCATATTAAAGATATAAGACAGTCTGGGCTGTGCAGCTCCATTTCCCTTTACATATGACAGAAAAACAGGACAACATGCATTTACAATGCAAACAGAGAGACTGGGTTCTGGAGACAAACCTGCCTCGTTTAGAACCGGACCAGAGAGAAAAAACTTCAGCTTCATGTCTGTAAGCAGGAAATTGACACCGGTGGAGTTATGGAGCCACTCCTGGTTTATTGTTGTTGACAGGTAACTGTGGAAAAACGACTATTTTTCACTGATGTATTTACAAGCTGCAGTTTTATCCCAGCCCAGATTGTAGCTGCAGAACTGATTAAATTAACTTTAATTTATAATTCTGTTAACATTCCTTTCAAAATTAAAAGGTTCTCCTTAGTTTGTGTATGGTTAGAGCACACATTTAAGATCTGATGCGATTGACACAAAGTCAGCTGATACCCTGGGCTTTCCCTGAATAGATCATCAACAACATAGAATGAATGATACATTTAAAAATGTACTGAAATAAATTTATCTCACCTCAATTTTTTCAGTTTTTTTTTTTTTTTTTTTTTTTGGGGGAATCTGTATAAATATTATGTCTGTATTCGTTGACACCCTAATTTTTTTTCAAC